CGCATCCGTGAAGGTCTGGCGCCAGCTGCAGCCCTCGCCGTCTACTTGATGATTTGAAGTCTTCATACTATAGACTAATTCTAGATTCCGAGCAAACAGACCCACGAGGCTGTTGATGGCCAGCTTCGCATAGTGCTCCTCGCCTTGCGGCCAATTCTGCTCCATGCGCTGCAGGACCTGTTCCAGGCACTGCTGGTCGACGTGCGCTGTGGCGTCGAGGCTCCACTTGAAGTGCTGCCACTGGGCCATCCCCGCCTCCAGCATGTAGGCGCACACGGGCTTGGCGTACCACCCTGGCCCCACGAAGGGCAGTCGGTCCAGTACGCCCTTGCGGTGGTCGCAGGGCAGGTCGACCCACATGAGGTCCGCCAGCTTGCCCTCCTCCGTGGGGACGATGCAGTCCAGGGGGCAGAACACCGGCAGGGGGAAGCGGGCGTTGGCCAGGCCGTTCTTTCGGCAACGGCACACGTCGATGCCCTGGCAGGGTCGGTCGAGATCCCACTTCCGCTCCAGGCGTCGTTTTGTCGGGACAGCCCCATCTCCAGTGCCGTCACTGGCAGGTAGTCATGGCGCTCGTAGGGGGTGCCGTTCCGGCGGCGGCCCCGAATGATCACGGGCACATGAGCCAGCCACTCCGTGAATTTGTCCTTGAAGAAGGCCTTGCCCAGTTTGGTGACATGGTACTGGCCGTTGGCCTGGAGGGAGCGCACGAGCTTTCGGGCACCCCCCCTGGTGAGGATGTAGTCGTTGGGCCCGTCCCGAATGAGAGGCTGGGACTCGTCGAACTGGCGGCTCGGCGGGCGCCGGCCGGTGATGCTGTGGTAGAACTGCCCGGCGCGGGTCAGCTGGCCGTTGGGGCGAGTCAGAAGTGCGGACTGAAGGCGGCTGTCCCTCAGAGGCAGAGGCTGCGAGCCTTGCGCTGAGATCCGTGGTCTGGCCCCAGCGTCGGCTGCACGTCGTATCGCTTCGCGTTGTTGCATCCACGACATGATTTCTAGGAGTCCACAAAAAAAATGCTGGCCAGCTGAACGACACACCTTCCAGGAGGGACCCTGGTGAGACATTGAGACATTGAGACAATTGACCCTGGGATGGAAGCAGGGTGCCCTCTATATCCTGCTCAGGAGAGACCCTGGTGAGACATTGAGACATTGAGACAATTGACCCTGGGATCGAGGCCATTTGTCTCAATGTCTCAGATGTCTCATCTCAGATGTCTCAGATGTCTCAGTGTCTCAAGGGGGGGGGGGGTCCCCCGCAGGTCCCGACGCCCAGTGTCTCAGACGTCTCAGGTGTCTCAGATGTCTCAGTGTCTCAAGGGGGGGTGCCCCGCAGGTCCCGACGCCCAGTGTCTCAGATGTCTGTCGGGGGGCCGGCGAGGCTCGCCTTTTTCAGAAGGGGCACCGCTGGGGCTCCTCCTCCTTGAGCATGAGATCGGTCACCTCAATCAACAGCCCACACTGGCCACTCATCATCCACACCTGCCGGAGCTCGGCGCGCACCTTGCACTCCCGGTTGGTCAGGTCCCCGGGTTCATGCAGCGACTGCCCCTGGGCATCCCACAGGCGCACCTGGTCCAGGCACACTTTCAATTTGATGAAGCTGTTGCCTCGGGCCGAGGTCTTCAGGCAGGAGACGAAACTTTTCTGCCTGCAGACTTTTCTTTCTTTGAAATCGGCGACAGGCCGCAGGCCGTGTTTGACAATTGGCCACAGCACATCATGCTATTTATTCCCCCCCCCTTTTTGGGGTGGGTTTTTTATGAAGAATATTTGACATGCTTCATCGATTTTTGTTGCATGTCCATGTTCCTTGGCATCTCTGATGATACTCTTGTGTCTGACGAAGTGACTGCTCGAGCTGAGCTTTTAAAACTTTTCGTCGTGGTCCCCTCTAGAGGCTTGTAAAACATTGTACCAGGCCTCGGGTGCTAATCACGGCGTTGTAGCTTCTTCGAGGTCTTCCGACCTCGCATGGACAGGCGCTTGCTTAGAGCACCAGCTCCGCTCCGGCGCCTAGTCCTCCTGTGGCTGCTCGAAAATCTGCAGGTCCGCGGCTGGCAGTCTGAAATTTTGCGGCCTGAAAGGCCGCGACAGGTGGGACTTCTTCAGCTCTTGGGAGCTACTGCGCCGGGAGCTCGCTTTCTGCTGCTTCTGGGATTGGACAGTTTCGACGCTTTGTGCTTGAGCTGTCGGGCTGTGTATCACTTTTTTGCCTTCGTCCAGCAGTCTGTGCGGCGCCAACGCCGCCGCCTCTCCGGGTTACACCTGCCCGTGTGACTTCTGGGCCTTTCTGCTGTCAGAAGCTCCTGGGATGGAAGGGGGTGAATCGGCAGAAGCTTCTTATGATGTTTGGGGGCTGATACAGGATGGCCCTCCCGCAGCCGGGGACCCCTTCGACGAACACCTGGATGGTCTACTTCGAGATGACCAAGAGGATGTTCAGCAGTTGGACATCGTGAGTATTGAAGGATTAGCAAGTCATGCTGAGAGCGAGATTTTGGATTTTTCTGCGGATGAGAGAGAGTGGTATTCTCAAGTTCAGGACAATGACTTGGGAAGCTTTGAGTGCGTGGAAGAAGAGATACCTGCCTCCTCTCCTGCTGCTCCGCTACTTTTGCCAGTATCACAGTCCAATAAGCTGTCTTGGCTTGAGGGACCGATGGCTGAGCTTGATGCTTCTCAGATGGTGGCTGCAGCAGTTCACAAGAGAAGGAGGTTCGAGTTACCACGTCAGCCTTGGGAGTCAAAGCCTTCACATCTTGATCAGTGCTCGGATTTTTTCTTGAAGTTTTCGACTTCTGTCGGGGTGAGTGAAACTCTGTCTATGGCAAGAGACAAGGATCCCGAACCTGATGCTTTTTCTCACATTCCTTGGACGGTAACCAGAAGGTTGGCCAGAGCGAGGCTGCCGAAATCGGATGCAGACATAAGAGATTCTTCTTTGAGGAGGTTCAAGATGCTTATCTTGATTGACCCTGAGGCCACAGCCTTAGGCAGCAGCCTGGTTGATCAGGGTAAGGCCATGGAAGATGATGAAGTCATAATGCAGAGTCTGGCAGACGCCTTCAGGGGAAAGGCATCCTTGACTTTGCAGAAGAGATCCTTGTCACTTCAGGTTTTTGTGGTGAGGTCCTATGATGCTTCGCTGGACTCACCATGGCGACTTAACGAGGCTCAAGTCTATGCTATCTTTGCTGGATTTCGGGAGCATGGTGCTAAAGCTTCTACGGCCTCTCATATCTTGGAGGCTTTGAGGTTCTTCCATGCCATAGCCCGCTTCAAGTACATGGACCTGGAGGCCATCTTGTCTTCGAGAGTGCGTGGCGTCGCACAAGACTTGAAGCTCAGAAAGGCTCCTCTGAGGCAGAGAGATTCCCTCAGTCGTCGGCGAGTGGAGGCATTGGAGCTGCTGATGGAGAGATGCTCAGATTGGACCCGATGTGTAGTCGGGCAATTTCTCTTTTGTATACACACATCTTGTCGGTGGAGCGATTCACAGAACGTTCAGTCTTTGACTCTCACTTCTGATGGAGAAGGCCAATTGCTAATTGCAGAGGCTCTTGGATCGAAGACGTCTACCACAGTAGAGGCGAAGACGCGCCTGCTTCCGTACGTATGTGTCTCCACTGGGGTGAGCAACACGCCGTGGGCGCAGCTCTGGTTGGAGGCACGTGAGAGAGAAGGCATCCAGTTCGACCGGGGGTGTTTACCTTCGTGGTCGCAGAAGTGGGGATGCTGGGGCCAGGAGAGAATGTCATCCGAGGAGGCCAGCGACATCTTGATCGACGTCCTAACTTCATTGGACATGGCCCCTGGCCCTGATGAGTCGATAGGGACCCACAGCTTCAAGACCACCTTGATCACGTGGAGTGGGTGGTCACCTATAATTTCTTTTACTCCCAAGGAGAGGTTGTTGATGGGACATCACCTCAGGAAGGGCGGCCCTTCTTCGACTCTGATTTATAGTCGTCAGTTCTACATCAACTTGTCGGGAAAAATCCTGGCGATGTTCAGGACCATCCGCCAGAACCAGTTCGATCCGGATGCCGAGGTCACGGACAGGGTCGCGGCAGTGGCATCAGCACTTGCAGGTGACGCGACGGCTTCACAGGCTCCCGCTCCCCCTGAGGATCAGCACGTGGGTGCCGCCGATGTGGAGTCTTCTGAGTCTGCCGAGTCAATTGTGGGGTATGAGCCAATGCCGCGCTCCGGCCAGGAGCTTAGACCGCCTTTCGAATGCACCGTGGCCGAGCTTCGTGTGCATAGCCTGTCTGGCATCGTTCATCGACTCAGGGACGAGGGCACTTTCTTTTGTGGGCGTCCCCTGACCGACAGATACAGGGACTTCGAGGAAGACGATGCCGATGACCCGGACACCTGCCATCAGTGCAGGCGGGCGATGTCGAGCGCTGATTGAACAGATACTGTCGAAAGAAAAATCGGCCGAGCTCGGTGGTGGTATGTACCATTGCGAGTCTTTTGCTTCGCCGGCTTTTAGCCCGTGGCGAGCTTGTGGTATGGTCAACTGCGAGAAATAGACGTCCCGATCCTTCGGATCCGTGGGACTTGCTTTCCCCAGGAGGAGTGAGTTGCATTCGACCTTTACGTGAACTGTTGGGGCTGTGTAACGTGGCCCCTGAGAATACACATGGCACCGGTCTTTGACCCGAGGTGACAGACTGCGGATGCCGGCTTTCCGAGCCCGTGGCATTCCGAAAACCCAGACCTTGTTTATTGGAGATGTCGCGGGCTGGATCTGAGGTAGGACTGTGAAACGCAACCCTGCCGTATGCACCGGCCTATGGCCCGTGGTGCCAGAAGTTTTGGCGGACATGCTTAAAGTGACGTTGCTGAAATCACGATGTTGGGGTTAGCTGTGCAGCAGCTTGGCGACATGTCAAAGCGTGGATCCCGCGCCCGTTGGCTCAGACAGTGACCGAAGCATTCTGCTTCGATACTGTGACAACGGCCGAGTTCGAGTAGCCTGCAGGCTGAGCCATGTCCTCTGTCATATTGGACAGTGAAGCTTCGTTCCGTGAGAGATGCAGCAAAATAGGCCTCAGCAACGATCTTCTCGGTAAGTTGATTGAAGCCGGCTACAACACATTTGGAAAGCTCGCTTTCGCCGCTTCTTCCACACCGCAGGGTTTGACAGACGAAGCTGTCGATTCATGGCTAGCCACTGTGGTCACCCCGTCTCCTGGTTCCTTTCAGGTTTCGGTGATCCGTAGGTTGCTTTTTGAGTCGCAATCACTCAATGTGGCGGATCTCAAATCTAGGGTCGAAGGCACGCCGGAAGGTTCCGTGCGTCGCCTGCCCCAGGCCGAGAGAAAGGAGCGCATCGAGGCGCAGCATCGTAGGCTGTCGGGTCTCATTCTGACTTCGCATACCACTCCTGCCCACAGCTGTATCGACCTTGTGACTGACATGTACGAGAATAACACACTCAAGTACATTCCGATTAACAGATGGATATCCCGCTTCCAAGAAATGTCTCTTCAGAAGAAGGATTCTGCCGTTCAGATGGACAACGAGGGCAACTTGAAGGTCGTCCAGAAAAAGCCGGAGCCTACGTGCGACACCACTGGCATGTACCCTCTCCGGCAGGCCTTCCAGAGACGGTCGTTAGCATTTGATCTAGGTCACTTGTGCAGCTTTGAAGCAATGGAAACATGGATCAACCAACTCTTCGAGGCAGTTCAGCGTACCGTGCCAAAGGGATATGTAGCAGTCAGCTTGGGACAAGTCGTTACGGCAGATCGTGAGCTTTTTGTCCGGTTGGCCGACAAGCTTGAAGGACAATTGCAGAAACCCATAGGTGTGGAGAAACCCATGGATGCAGCTTTGCGTGACCTCTCGGGTAGCCAGGAGATAAATCAATTTCTCCAGCCGATGGTAGCTCCTCCTCCTGCACCACATCCCACGAAGCGCCCTTTCAAGGAGCTTGCCACGCCTAACAAAGGCGACGGAAAGGGCAAGACATCCACCAAGGGCGGCGAGAAAGGCGGTGGCAAGGCACCTCGTGTAACCATTCCGGATGGCTGTGCGGCCAAAGATCCTCAGGGCAAGCCGAATTGTTTTGGGTTTAATTTAGGCACATGCAAGCTCAAGGTGACGAAAGGAAGATGCCCGCGAGGCTTTCACCAGTGTTGGCGATGTTTTGGGGATCACCCCTTTACTGAATGCACAAATCAAGTACAGTGATGGGGCCATGCGAGGCCCCAGGGGCCTGACCTCGTGGCCACTTCGGATTCTGCCCCTACTTAGGCGGCCGCTGTGCTTATAGCATATATAACATGAACTTATAAATGTGCTATCAGGGATTATAACATACCTAAGGTTATGTTATACATGAGGTATTTGAGTATATTCCCGTTATAAGTCATGCAAAAGTTATATATTGGATGTAACCATTTGGGTGCGTTATAACTGCACTTATGGGGTCCTCGTAGATCGCGATTATAAGTACCACGTGGCAGTTATAACTGGGCTGCGAGGCACCCCCCAAATACCGATGTAGACGGACCGAAAACCCGCCGTGCATCCATTTTTGCTGCCCCCGGAGAACCGACGTAGATCACCCGAAAACCGCCCGTTGCTTTTCCCGAAATCAGAAAGCAACACTCCGCGGATCCAATTTTTGCTTCCGAATCAGAAAACAACCCTGCATGTTTCCGCCGAAATCAACCGACCACGCATGTTTTGGAACATGCAGGCAACACCACGACGTACACGATTCTTCAACGATATAGGAAGCCCCCGCCCCGAAAACCGCACTTTTTTTCAAGTTCATTTTTTGGCCATCGCCGGGAACTCGCTTTTCATCTCCGGAAATCATGTTTACATCCAAGCCAATATATCATTTGTTTTCCGCCTCAATATCATTCTTATCATTTATCCGGTTCATGTTTTGTGCTGTCGCATGCCCGCAGGGCCGTCGCTCCGGACGAACCGCGACATATGTGGCTCCACTGCGAGGCTCGCCCGCAGAAGAAGCAGCCATTTTGGCTGCAAGAAGGGCAGCAAACAAACACTGCAGCACGCACACTCTCAGCCACACAGAGGCAGCAGCACTCTCAGCCACACAGCAACCAAACACCCACACTCTCAGCCACACAGAGGCAGCACACTCTCAGCCACACAGCAAGCAAGCACCCAAGACTTTCAGGCACGCAGCCACGCAGACAGCCACGCACAGTCAGCAAGCGAAGCACAGTTTTCCGAGGCTTCGCCCGTTTTTGACTTCGAGGCTTTGCCCGAAGGAGTGCAGAGGCGTGGCCCGCCTTCCATGGCTCGGCCGGACCGTCCAGGAGTCCTGGGCCACCTAGGTCCCTTCCCTGTGGAGGCAGGGACGCTGACCTCCCAAGACCGGGAGGAGATCCGCCAGGAGACTGGGTGCACGGTGGGAGTGCGCGGGCGGAGTCAGTGGGGCTCGAGGTGCCTCACGGTCTGCGGACCGCCTTCAAGGCTGATGGCGGCGAAGGAGATGGCGGAGGAGAGGATCGCCAACTCCGTGGAAGACGCGCGGGCGCCGAAGCCAAACGGCCCTGCGCATGGTCCCCCTTTTGGACCACTCTCAAAGGCGGCCAACAAGGGCAAAGGCAAGGGCCCAGCCAAAGGCGCCTTTGAAGGACCGCCGGCGCCTAGAACGCCGCCAGCGCCAAGGCCGCAGCCAATGGCTGCCCCGGCACCCATGCCGGGGCAGAGTAACGGGGAACTTGCGATGCAGCTCCAGATCGCACTCAGCAGGATCTCGACGCTGGAGACGAGTGTGCTGCAACTTCAGACGTTGCAGAACTATGGAGGGCACCAAAGTGCCCTTCATGAGAGCCGCTTGCGCAAGGTCGAGGCCGACCTGTACTGGCAGGAGCGAAGGCCGCCACGCACACGCAGCCGCTCGCCTCCCGCAGCTGCCAGCAGCAGCGGCCAGCCAGCGCCAGCACGCTCACGCTCCCAGAGTGCTGGCAGTGGCAGCTCCAGCAGCCAGCAGGAGTCACCGGCCTCCAAGGACCGTTGTTTTACCCTTATAAGACCCCTATATATATATACACATTCTATAAACCCATACATATATATATATATATATATATATTTGAGAAGGCTCGCCTCTCAAAGTAAAGAAAAAAATATGTATATAAATTCAAATGTAAATTTGAAGGCTCGCCTCTCAAAGTGTGTATTGTGCACGCAGGACGATGCCGGGGCAAGCAAGATCGCCCAGAAGGAGGACCGGCAGCCGAAGGCGGAGGAGGAAAGCTCGTCTTCTTCGCCAGCCCAGGAGCCGGAGCCTGTGCCGGCTGCAGAAGCAGCAGCTGCAGAAGCACCAGCTGCAGAAGCGGCAGCTGCAGAAGCAGCAGCTACAGAAGCGCCAGCTGCAGAAACGCCAGCTGCAGAAGCGCCAGCTGCAGAAGCGCAGGAGCCTCCGGTGCCCAAGACTGAGCCCAAAGAGGAGGCGGCTGAGGCATCGCCCGGCCCTGACTTTCAGGCCTCCGCAGAGGAGGAGCTGGTGGCGCCTGTTCGGGAGACGGCAAGCCCGACCTCGGAAGCAGAGGGCGAGCAGGAAGAGGTGGCGGTGCTGGACACCTTGAACCTGACTTCCAAAGCATCGGCTCCGCCGCCGCATCCTGAAAAGGGCTTTCCGTATCCCTTCACGCAGTGACAGCTCCTTGAAGTTTAGCCCTAAAGCCTTAAAAGAAACAGCTACAAGCTCTAAAAGGCCGTGAAGGGTTTCGGGAATTGACGAGGCTTGCCCGTCCTTGCACGACTCGAAGTCTTTTGCAGAAGAGAAAAGGCAAGCCAGATCCTCGAAAGGTTTGAAAGATGCAGGCCTGCACATTTCCTGGACCACTTCTGTTTGCTCGAATAAAACCCACGATTCGAAACTTGAGAGTTTGTTCGCCATCTCAAGCTTCTCCAGCGACCAGTATACAGGTATAGCTAAACAGACTGACTCCTCAAGCAGCTGAAGCAGGTTGGCCCCTCCGTAAACCCTATAAACCCTAAACCATAAACTCTAAACCCTAGACCCTAAACCCTATGCTTGAAAAGAAGATTCCAAATATATGTGATAAGTAAAAAAGAAAAAGCTGGCAAGGCTTGCCTGCCAGCAGAATCTCGAGGCATGCCCCAAGCTGTCAAGGCGTGCCTGACAAAGCCATGGGGCTGCCATGACTTTGCAGCCGCTCAAGCGAGCCAGGGCTGCTTCAGCAGGGACGCTGGCCGACACTGTTTCCTTCTCGGTTTTGGCACGGAGGGAACATGATGAAGGCCAGCTGCGAACTGAGCGCCGCCGTATAACGGATGAAGTGCTGCAGTTTCTGGACAGCCCTGCTTGCCCCTGCGGTGAGCTGCTGCAGCATCTCCAGCTCACCCTGGTTGGCGGCAAGAAGGAGGAGGAGTGTGGGTTTCACTGGCACTTCGTGCAGCCCATGGCCCTCCTCTTCTTGCTGACAGAAAGGGTGCCCAGCTTCGGGGACATGTTGCAGCGGATCATGGATGAGAAAGGCCGTTTGAGGATAGGCCTTTATTCCGACGAGACCAAGCCTGGCAACCCGCTTCGACCGGACCATGGGAGGGCCCAGGTGTGTTTTTACTTCACCTGTCTGGATTTGCCCGACTGGGTGAGGTGCCAGACAGGTGCCTGGTTCCACTTCAGCGCCTTTCCGTGCAAGCTGCTCTCCGATGTCCCTGGAGGCCTTAGCCATCTTTTCTGTAAGACAATGGATGTATTCTTTGGTGAGCACTTTCGGTGGAACTTCAAGACTGGGTTTCCGTTGAAGTGCAGCAAAGGTACCTTCCTGGCCCAGGGATCTTTCGAGTGTTTTGTCGGGGACGAGAAGGCCATCCGGGAAACCTTCAGCTTGCGTGGAGCAACGGGCACAAAGCCCTGCTGCCACTGCATGAACGTGCTGGGTCACATGGACAAGCACAGTGTGACGGTACCGGGCCTTGTGCACTATAGCTGCGACGACCCCGGCAAGTTCGTGTTACACAGCAGCCAGACCTTTCGAACAATGTGTCAGAAGCTGGAAATTGCGCCCAAGAAGGATCAAAAGAAGCTGGGCCAGCTTTTCGGCCTCACCATGCATCCAAATGCCGTGCTGTTTTGTGCGCCGTGGAAGGACAGCGTGGACTGCGTTCAGCATGTGTATTGGGACTGGATGCACATTCTTTGTGCCAGCAGTGGCATGGGCCAATACGAGGTCAACGAGTTTCTCAAAATTCTCGTTGACCGGGGCGTGTCTTTGGACATGCTTGATGAGTATGCCCAACAATGGCGGCTTCCGCAAAGGACCAGCAACCTTTGCAAGGGTTTTTTTGCGGAGAGGCTGAACAAGGAGCCGGACAGCTGCTTGAAATGCTTCGCAGGCGAGCTCCTGACGGCTGTTCTTATTCTGGATGCTCTACGGCAGGATGTCTTGAGGCATGTTCCCGAGACTGCGGAGCACTGCAGATGCCTGGCACTGCTGGCCAAGATTTTCCGTATTCTTGGCAGCGGAGACAGGGCGGTGCAGCAGTTGCAGGAGCTGCGCAGATGCATTGCAGAGCATGCCCGCCTCTTCCGCCGGCTTTATGAGAACTGCGTGAAGCCCAAGTTTCACTGGGCTTTCCATGTCCCCGGCTGCATGGAAAAGTTTGGGGTGAACATGTCATGTTTCGTGACAGAATCTCGTTTGCATTTGTGTTTGTTTATACTATATATATATATATGTATATAAAAGTTGGTTTATATAAGTGTTTAGGTTGGGACCCATTATAATTATCAAATATAAGGAGCGCAAGAACGCGGTCGTGAAGAGTCTGGCCACCATTGCCAATGGGAGCCATCTGCAGCAAAACCTGAACATGCGGGCCGCCTACAGCGACGTGAGCCATATACTGCAGAACCCGCTCTTCTTCAGTGAGGTCGGCTTGCGCGAGCCTGTTCGGGACCTGCCTTGGGCAGTGGCTCTGTTGCACAGCGTGCTCCCTGGAGTTCAGCAGGTGAAGGCCGCGAGATTTATGAAAACAGCCAAGGGCACGATCGCTGCGGGAGATACAATCTGGAAGCCCGGCACGGCCGAGGTCATGGTCGTGGACGAGTGCTTGCAAGCTGCGTCGTTGGATGGCGCACAATGGTTGGGCTTTCATGGTGTTATTTGCAATCAAGTGGGACCTGACCTCTTCGAGGCCTCGGAAGAGCGGGGCATACGTGCCTGGAGCTCTGAGCACGAAGCTGTGCCTGTCAAGCTGAGGCTGCGGATTCTGCAGATCTATAGGCCTGGCAGCTGAAAGCAACGCCATGGCGCAGGAGGCTTGCCCCTGCATGCGACAAACGTGGATACAGGGGGTTTTTGCCTCATGGCATGCATGCCATGCATGCAGACTGTCTGACTCCTTTGCGAAAAGAAACAGTTTCCGTGAGTTCATTATCAGGTCCTCCTGAAAGCTTTCGAGAGCATGTGTTGCAAGACAATTGATTCATGTTCCGCCTTTTTGACACGAGCCGGCTCTATAATGCCGTTTTTCGAGAGTGTTCTGCAGGACGAAGGCAGGGCCGTCATCCTCCGGCTTCCGGGCCGGAACGCAACCATGGAGAACATGACAATTCGGCATTGCTTCGCTCTTCAGCGCAATGCAGCGGTGGCTCGGCACCTGCTGCGCAACCATGAGATGGCGGCCCCAGCTCCCCAAAGCCTGCGGTCCGGCACCACAACGGTACAAATGCCAGGAGCAGGTCCGGGAGCGGCTGTGGGTGGCGCATGAGGACCAGCGGCTGCAAAACGTTGTGAGGCTGGCTTGAGGCTTGCCCAGGCATGAAAAGCTGTGAGGCTGGCCTGAGGCTTGCCCAGGCATGAAAAGTTGTCATGGTCTAATAATGGGCACCCTCGAACTTATGAGCCTTTCTGCCTGCAAAAAGCAAACGTGCTGCTTCCATTGCGCTGTGCCTCCTCGTACTTCAGTGATGTGTGTATGCATATAATGTCTCTTGTTCCGGGTTTCTACTGCTGCAGCTGTTTTAGCAAAACTGTGAAGGCTTGCCTCTCAGAGAGAGGCTTGGACCCGTCGACCAAGGCTTGCCTGGGGTGGGTGCCATGGCTGGCAACCAGGCTACTCCGGAGCCGGAGCAGGGCGCCGTCCTGCAGACCCATGGGAACCAAG